TGTATATGTGAGTGTGTGTGTATGCGTGTGTTTGTTTGTATGCGTGTGTGTGTGCTAGTTATTATTAAAATATGAGTTGCTTGTAGGGTTCAGGGGATCTCGTAGTCGAGCAGTCTCGACTAGAGCTTTCTTACTTGTTTTTATATCATAACAATAAGAATCGCTTAGAGAACATTAAAATACATATTTTAGCAAGTACAATTGTGTAATTTGACAAAAGACTATTCAAATTTGTCTGTTTAATTACATATGGGAAATATTCTAGACAATCGCGTGTCTCAGTTTTAATCAGAAATTCCCAAAAGCGTAGATTTGTTTCTTTTTGTCTGTTTGTTATTTTGTTTATGCCGACTGATTCGAATAGAATGGTTTCTGGTAGATACTTTCAAAAGCTATGCTGTAATTAATAGCTGCTTACGACTTGGCCGCAAATTAGCCACATGACATAGCGCCCCAAGAGCTCAATTTGTCGCTATGTCTAGCCCCCGCCTCGCGTAGGCTTGAACTCGAATCGCCTTAATCGCGTGGGCTTTACAGAACGGCATACCCAAGAACCAGATCCTGTTATAATTTGTGCCAATGTGGCGAGAAACGAAATAAGTTAACAATCCGTTTCTAACGATACATTGCAGAATTTTAGAACCAGAGATTGATGGGTACCAGAGGACGTACATCGCTCATCTATTCGATCCGGCTCCGACATATGCAGGGCATAAGCACATTTGATGCCTGCTGTGTACTCTTCTAATATTGGTTTAATACAAACCTGATCTAAATAAAAAACTAGAGCAGTAGTAACTATAGCAAGCCGACATCTGTGTGCCTAGCTTTGGATGACCAGAATATAAAATCTGCACATGTAGAAATCTTATAGCAAAGTTGACAAACAATATTTGCCCTAGTATCGTTTGCAAACTTGCTGCTCGCTTTCGTTCGATGGAAGGCGTAAGCTCATTGACTTTGCAAGTCAAGTGGGCGCTTAGTACTCATTTATGCTATTGTTGATGTCGTATATTTTCAGAACTTGTTTCTTATCGACGGCTAAGAAATAGAAATTCATTACAGTAACCTTCACAGGGACAGCTGCGACTGCTAAAACTATACACTAGGCTAGACTTAATTTAAGGGATTCGAAGTTTTTGCGCTCTCCTGGCGTATGGCGTTGATGAGCTCATAGTTAACCAGAAACGTGAAGCGCAGTCCCGAAATTTCCACAGTACAGTTGTGTGCCAATCGCGTCTTGTTACCATTCAGCAAAGGTGTGCCATCGATGAAGATGGCGCGCTTGCCCTCGTTGGCTATGAAGAAGTCGCCGTTGCTGCGCATTTTGATGGTGCCTTGACGCCGCGAAATCTTTGCAGCGGGCCCCTCCAGGGAAAGATCCACATCTACGCCACATTCCTTGGCCTCGCGACCGAATGTTATTTCCTTAGAGCGCATCAAATAACGCACAAGACGTCCGCACAAGCAGGCAAGCGTTTGGCTATCGAACTCACTGGCTGCCGTGGGTCCGAGCACTGAGTCAACCAGCACGCCCCAGCGTGAGAGCTCGTTCTCTAGCAGACGGATGTCGCGTTTGTTACGTCGATCGGCCAGAGTTAATTCGATTTCCAATGCCTCATCGCGCGGCTCTTGCAGGTCTTGATCGAACAACTGATCCTCAGCATCTGAAAAGCTGAGCGGTTGATCGGTGCCCTGCAATGGCTTTACCGATTGATCAGGAAGCAGACAATATTGCTTGAGCAGCAGCCAATGATTGTGCAGGGACTTAGCAGTGCGTGCGCAATAGAATGTGGAGGGATTCTTGTCCAGCAGCTCCTGAAACTGCTCTAGCTTTGGGGTCTCCGACTAAGTGAGAAATAATATTGGATTAGTCTCAGACGATGCAAAATAAGAGCTAACTGCTTACGCTCTTTATAGTGCCTAGAAGGTCCTCCTCCTGCACGCTGTACAGCGCCTTCCGCTGTACAGACTCCACCATCTCGGGATGCAGATTACGCATGGCAGACACGGCAATCCGTGATACGGATGGCTCATACAGCAGGGCGTACCAACGCTGCTGCAGCTCTTGAAGGGTAAATTTACAGGAGAATTTGACGCCCCGATGTATCATGCGTAGGTCGTTGGTTTGCTGTATCCCAATAACAAGGGCTAGGTCATCGATTGGCTTCCAGCGACCCAAATCCTTGGTGGCCATCTGTCCAAGAGGTCGACCATTGCGACGGGGCTTTTTATTGCTCGCTGGACGAGATGGACGTGGACGACGTTCAGGGGCCATCGCACGATCCATCGCAGGCTTCACCTTTGGCTGCGGTTGCTGCGCAGAATTATGAATCGTTGGCAACGGCAAGGTCGGCGTGGCTGGCGTTGAAGGCGTCGCAGGCGTTGAAGCAGTAACTATGTTTGGGGCCCCGGGTGCAGTGTCCACTGTAGTGCCAGGTGTGTTAGTCGTTTCAGGTGCAATGGCAGCAGCAACTGCAATTGGGCCGGGTGATTGCTGCACCGTTGGTGTCGTAACAATTCCTGAATAATTCTGAGATGTTGTCCGTGGTCGACTTGAGCGGTTAGCGTCGGCACCGCTACGGTTCGTTGGTATTGTAAGATTGTATTCTACAATTTCGTCGTCAAAGCGTTTACGTTTTATAGTACGTGAGGAGCTAACAAGCAATTGAAGTTATCGACAGTTTACAGTTAGCCTAAAATGTCAAACTCACCTTCGACGCTTCGCCGCGTCGTTTTGTAGCAACTCTATCGGCAAATTGTGAATTGGAGTTTTACTCAAATGTGTTGCTGTTGTTGTTGTCGATACCGTTGTTGTTGCTGCTGGGGCTGCGCAAGTGTTGACAGATGTCGATGACACACTGACAGTGGCAGGGACGTCAATTGCATGGGAAGGAACAGTAGGCGCCATTGTAGTATTTACACTAGTCGATGTTGCAGTGTTGGATATTGTTATGGGTAATTGAGTGTTTTCCATGGCTATTTTGAGCAATATTATTTGTTTTTCGTTTGCGACGCACAATGCACTAGTAATGATGTGACAAATCGATAACTATTCGATAAGTCACAGCCATCGTATCACGATATTCTGCATAGTGGCAGCACCGCATAACATTTTAAAATTGTTTTTAACATAGGTACTCCTCAGTTAACAATACTTGTATTATATGTATGATCACATATTTATTTATTTAATACTTTGAAACTTAATGTAATAAACGAGTTTAATTTGGTAACATCTTTGTAATTTTTCGATGTGGATATATTAGCAATTCTCGACGTCAGTAGCTGGTTTTCAAACAATCATAATTAACTGTCGAAATTTGTTTTTATTTGGTGGTTTAGCTTAAGACGAACCTAAGTAAATGTTTAAATATTTGGCAGTATCTCATCAAAATAGGTTAAATTTATCTCAACATTAAGTAAGTGTTATTATACAGCATTTCTCAGTAGATTTCTTAGCTGACTTTATTACTTTCTGGAAATCAATTCCAATGCCAAGAAGAAAAATATGTGACTGAAGTTCGGAATCATTTTCACTGGATGAAAAATTAAATGTTCGTCAAATGACGGCATTGCGGTTAGGAATACCGCTTTGTGGAAACACATCCATTTTATCGGAAAAATGGCCAAATGAAATATGAAATGACTTGTGGGAAGGCTTGTGTTGACAAATCACTTGCCATAATGGCTGTGATTGACTTGCAGCCATTTAGCATTGTGAAGAATCTTGGATTCATACAATTTGAGCGATCATTAATTAATTTTACTCTAGATGCGCTTGCAAATATCTCTACACCCCGTCGAGCACTGTTGAGTCCCAAAGAATATTTAGTAAAGCAAAGGCAATTCTAACAGACCGCGCGACTGCTTTAAAGGAGATAAGCGTTAATAAACTGCTACATTAAAAACAAATTTTTGGCTGTTAAATTTAGACGTATCTCAAGAAGAACACTAAGTAGGAAGTAAACTGAAATCTCAAAGCAGTTTTGTTTGGTTATCAGATTTAAGATTTTGTATTGTTGTATTGTTTTAAAGAGTTGTGCTGATTTTGATATAGAAATTCAATCTCCAATAAATAAAAATACTTCACTATCGTGGTATAAAAATATATACATATATACTTTAATACTTCAATTGTAAACAAATGTATTTAATTTTTTCAACTCGTTAGTTTCCGATGGAACCATCGATATATTCAAAAGATTTATCCATCGATGGAGCTATCCATCGATTACTTCACAGCTCTAGCTGTAATAATATCGATATGTGTCGTCACGAAAATAAAAAGTGTGTCCGATGTATTTAATGTTTGTGGCATAAACTTTGTGCTGCAGCCCTAAGTTTGCTAACAAAGTAGTGATGTGAAACTTGATAATAAGATAATAATGTGATGTCTATGCTTTAAAATGCGCTGCATTATTAAGTGCATTAAAGCATTTCAGTATTGCTAACAATTCGCAAAAGCTTTACCAAGCGCTACAAAACAATGAGGTAAGCGCGCATTGTAATTACAATGACGAATGTGATGACTAATCGATTGTGCTTGTAGTTGTCACTACGCGGAGTCGGAATCATCACAATCCGAGAGCAAAATGGACATCTCGGAGACGCCTACGGACTCCACGGGAGTTTCGCCGTTGGCCGATGAGCGTGCCAATGCCACGATGCCAAACAAATCGAATATCGACGACGAGCGGGAGAATAACGAAAACAAAAATACGTCAATGTTAGACAACCGAATAATACGGCCAGAGTTGCTGCTGCCAGTCGAAACGATGCCACAACGACAAATAACAGAACGCACCCTGACATTGGCGAATAGTCACCCGCTTATGTCGCCTACCAACACCGACTCTGACTCGGAGCCTTTTCAAGGCAAGTGCAAGAATTTCCCCGACGTAGTGCCTCGCACCGAGCAGACCACAACGGAAGCTGTACGAAATACGTTGAATCAACAAAACAACATGCGGGTCAAGCCTCAAGACGCGAAAGTCAGTCTGCTGCGGGCAAATAGCCCAGACCTGCTTAGCAGTGAGTCAGATGTGGATGTGTCACAGTATTTGGCAGCTGTTGAGTCAAATTTTCAATCGGTTTCGTTGCTGCCCAATGCGAATAACAAAGCGTCGCGAAGGGCAAAACACTCGGCCGCAGCTGGCGGTGAGGACATTTCCAGCTTGGACTCCATATCAAATCATAGCTTTGACGATGACGAAGACATAGAGCACAATTTGGCTTCTCTGAGCCCATCCAGTTCGCTGATCGATGGCCTGGATGGTGAGGACGACGATGACGATGAATGCGAAGGGCCCGAGTTGCTGCCCGACAACGATGACGACCTGGATGAGTTTGGCATGGCAACCACGCCGACGCCACATGCCCCCGCCGGACTGCAAGTATCAGCAGATACGGGTGCAACTGCTTCAGAGTTGCCGCAATATACGGCAGATGAGGAGCGGCGCGACTCACGCAATTGGCAAAAGATCACGCTACCAGATGGACGCACTCGAGAGATTGATATGCGTGTCATCGAACCTTACAAACGCGTGCTATCCCATGGTGGTTACTTGAAGGCTGGCGGGCAGAATGCTATTGTAATATTCTGCGCCTGCCATTTGCCGGACAGATCCCGTGCCGACTATAGCTATGTCATGGACAATCTCTTTTTGTACGTAGTGAAGACGCTGGAACAGCTAGTCACGGATGACTATGTGCTCATCTATCTGCACGGCGGATCCAGTAGACGCAATGTGCCGCCGTTTCCGTGGCTCAAACGGTGAGTTCTCAAAATAGTTTTCATTTCAAAAATATTTGATTATTACTTATTTTGTAGTTGCTATCAACTGCTTGATCGCCGCCTGCGCAAGAGTCTGAAGCACATGTATTTGGTGCATCCCACTTTTTGGATAAAATCTTTGGTATGGATGGCTCGGCCATTTGTCAGGTATGTATATCCTATATCTAGGTTATCACTTACTATAAATTGTTGATTCTCTTTGCAACAGCACAAAATTTTGGCGTAAGCTCATTTATGTTAAGTCTCTGGAGGAACTGGGCCTGCACGTGGCTGTGGAAAAGGCAGCCATCCCCGAAAAAGTTAAGCAATACGATGCCAAGCGACATTGAGCTGCACACTCGAACCACTCAAGTCCCTGAATAACTGCTAGCTCAGACTTGATTCACTCTCAGCGCAACATTTACACACGCTCGCATTTGTGTCTTCGCATTCCTTGTTAGACCTATTTCATATAATATTTGCTCCGTCTCGTATTTATTTAATCTCCCGCTATGCTTTAATTTAAGATCTCAATCTATGTGATACTTTTGATTTGCTTTCTCAACCCATGTACTCTAACTCGCTATGTGCTATGTAATTTAATACGCGGCGTTCAGCATACATCGAACAAGTTTTTGATTGCTTTTACCAGCTGCAGTAAAACTCGGATATGTAGCAAATAGGAACAAACTCCACAACAATATATATACACACACACAAGCGCAATCACTAATGCATACTTATTAATAATCATGTAGCTTCCGCTTTAGTTCCATATATTTATGCATATAAACATAATCAATCGTACAATCTACAACACATATACATACATACCTAAGGCCTGGTTTTTTAAGCAATGTTAACATGCGAATAAGCAACTAAAAACCACCAGACTTCCGTACACGTTACCTTCTCTGTCGTAGCAAAATACTATTATGAATTATTACGAATGGAATGAATCCAAACTCAACGGAATTTAATATTAAGCGAGTTTCTAATCGAAAATGTCTAGCTGAATTTTTTGTGTGCTTTTGCATCGATGGCATTGTACACCCAAATCGTTATCAACCAAAAGCACCAAGAACACCGATCCCGAATGCAGAGAGCAGATCCCATGTCAGTCACTACTCGCCCTCTAGCCCACACATTAGATGATAGACCGTAAGTGAACTAGTGACCATTGTATTAAAAGGAAAACAAAATGAATATTTGATATTTAACAATCTACAATCTCACATACACATACATGAGCATAAGAACGTAGTTGTGTAATTAGTTAAGCGTGTAACCGATTGATATTAAGGAGCGATCTTTTGTTGGTTTCCTTATTGCTTAAACGATAATAAAAATGCAGAACACAATTTGCCAATTGATTTATTATGTGAGTTTCTATGAAGCCACTAGGAATAGCTGCTCTGGTCGCAGGTTCACAAATCCTGATCCTCGTGGAACTGAATCAGCACCAACTCATATGTGACGATGGTGCCAGCCACCTGATGAAAAACATATCAATATCTATGCAAATCAAATATTTTCCAGATCTGCATCAATACTCACACTGAGCACCAGTTTACGTGTCAAATTGAAGAACTTCATCCCACTAAGGGCCACCATATCGCTCGTAATCTCCTCGGCAAATCGCATGGTATCCGGGCACCAGGACTCCTTTGGCACGCAGCGCAAGTACCGCAGCGGGCGACGCGACTCGTCGTGCACGCTGGCCGCATATAAGGACACGGCCAAGGTGCGTCCAATCAGAAAGAAGAGCGAGAAGTAAAAGTACACCGTATGAGCTACCGAGGGCATGGTGCTGCGGATTAATGTTGACAATTGAGAACCTTATTGAGTAAGAAGAACAGAAAGTACCAAATATCTCCAAAGACTTTGAACCATTTGGTTAACAAATCATTAAGTTTTGTTTTGCGTTTATACAAAGTATACTATATATACTGAATCGAGCAAATTTTCGCTCTTGCTATTTATGTATGTGTCGATATGAACGAAAACCAACTCGACTCTAGCGAACAAACTTGAAATAAGGGATATATATTTGTGGGTACCGCCATCTGATATCGTGACAAGATCGTGGATGTCACTGGCAGCGTGGAAAATATATTTTCCGGTGTTACTTGAAGTGTTAGAGAATTGCTATATCGAATGTATACACCCCTGTAGGGTCTATGGAAAATTGGGATAAACCGTTATATACATAGTGTTATAGTTATATTACGTTAAAGTTGAACGGCTAAAGTAATATTATCTTCTTTTAACGGTTTGCCAA